TGAAATTTTTGTTTCTGGGACACGTGGATTTTGGGAATGAGCAAAACTTCCCAAACCAACATATTTTCCCATTCTATTTGCTTCTGCATACCCTAAACTAGTATTTCATTTAAAGAACTATCTTAGATTAGGCTGGCCTCTCAGCAAATGGTCCAGAGGGTCCACTCATGCAAGGTGTGGCCCATTTCCATCCAAACTGAATCTCAAAGCCAGACCAATCCCATGCCCAGGAGATTTTAACTTCTACCTTTCTCAATCTCCAATGCTTCAAGTTCTTAGTCTTCAAACTACTTATCCTCTGGTTGTTCAAAACCCTCAGCCCCTCCCCATTACTTATGTCCTTCTTAATAACTAATCTCTTTCATCAGTAAAATTGATGCTCTTTACCTACCATCACGTTATTTCAAGGTTTTCCTTTTTTTTTTTTCCTTTCCTTTAGTAAAGGACTCTGATATGCCAGTCCTACCCTAATGGACCACAACACACTGTACACCTGTCAAGAGCTTTGAGGAGCCATCTAAGGAAGGCAAGTCTTGGTGGGAAAGCCAGTCCTGCCCTTGGGGCCTGGAATATGATAAACTGTCCTCTCCTGAACTCGACAGCTCTGTTAGGCCAGCCACTGCCTCTGGCTCATTCCCCATTGTGTCCCTGGTACTGGGTGCACAGTGAGAGCTCAATAAATAGACGGATGAATGGCCTTATTTTCTAATACACCAACACATGCGAAAACATCAGCAGAGACTGAAATGAGCATGGTAGGTGAAACAGAACATGAGAATGTTGTCAGTGCATCTGAGAACAAGTGACTAAAAAATCAGTGACAGAGCACCTGGGTGGCTCAGTGGGTTAAGCCTCTGCCTTCAGCTGGGATGGTGATCTCAGTCCCACATCGGGCTCCCTGCTGAGCGGAGAGCCCTCTTCCCCCTCTCTCTCTGCCTGCCTCTCTGCCTACTTGTGATCTCTCTCTCTGTGTCAAATAAATAAATAAAATCTTTTAAAAAAATCAGTGACATCTAGGATTGATATACTTCCTAGTTTCTGGAGGGCTTCAAGTCTCCCATGAGATTTGTACCAACAAGCGTGTCTGAAGGACAAAGAAAGCCTCACCAGGTTTCTGTGAGGATTCCAGAGATCGTGTATGTAAAGCTGCTACTACAATGCCCAAAATGCAGCAAGAGCTTTAGAAACAGTGGAGAGGCCCCCTTCTTTGCTAGTGACATGACAGGTTCAGGTCCAGAACCCAGGGTTTGCATTTCCTGGCCTGTGACAGCATCCTCAGTGTTCTTCCCACGCCATCCTCAGACTGATGGGAACACCTTGAAGGCAGCAGGCATGACACCTTAAGAAGACCACTGATACTCCTCTGCCCCCATCTTGCTGGGGAAAGAGATGGGGGGCACTGTACCCCATGATTACGGCAATCAGCGCTAAATGGCTGGAAGTCAAGCCTGGGAACCATGCAAACGTTATGGGCAGTGTACCTTATGGTGATTGCCACAAGGTCCTCGTGGTGATTACCTGCTGGCAGCTCTTCCACCAAATACATAACAAATAATGTGAGGCTCCTAAGTTCCAAGGACTGAGGCGGGAGCCCTCATATAACTGAGATCTGTTGTTCAGAGGGACCATAATTATTGTTCAAACTTCTCTCCCCAATAACAAGTGCATCACTGAGCTGCCATCGGACATTGTGCTGATGAAAAATATAACACCTGAGTCCCCTCTGGTTGAGGGGACGTGAATCAATGCATCATTCTGAGATGCAGTCCAGGTTTTTTTTTTTTTGTTTTTTTTTGTTTTTTTGTTTTTTTTTTTTGGTCTGGCCTGACCTTTTTCTGGATTTTTGAGAAGATCTGAAATAGTTAAAGTAGCATCCATTTTCCCTGGCCCCCCTCCAAGGGCTGCACTTAGTTTACCATTTTTCTCCACCCTTTCTCTTGTGCCATCCTCCTGGGGATGTGACTGGGCCACACATTAGCCTTCCAGGTAGGTGACAGAGATCCTACACACGGTAAATGATCCACTGGGCTCCTCCGCTTGTGCATTGGGTGGCCTGGGGCAAGGCACTTGGACTCACTGAGGTTTAGTTTCCTTGACTGTAAAATGAAAAGATAAACCTGCTTCATCGACCTTTCCTGAGTATTCAGCGAAGGGACAAATATGAATTGTCCCTACCCAAGATTGACAAAGTAGCTTTCCTCATGGTGGTTAAGGACACTAACATGGTAGAATGTTTGTTACACTTTATCAATTTCTTCCATCTGATTGCACTGACATTATGTGTCCTTCTACTTTCCAAATAGGCTCTAATGGTCTATTCATTTCCCGGAGATGTCACATTTATATAGAAATCTCTCACTATCTTTGCCACTTTGTGTTCTCATCACCCAGCCTTCTTCCACTCTAACTGAATGCTTAGTGCCCTATCCTGCCTCACATTCCCTGGTCTCTCCATCTGGAAAGCTCTTTTCACTCCTGCCTCCTCCCTGGGACTGCTTCCCTTTCATTCACGAACACATTTATTGCCCCACATGTTGGGGATGTAGCAGTGAACCCAACAGTCCCTGCTGTTGTGGAGCTGGCATTCTACAGGGAGGGAAGAGCAGGTAATTAGTAAATAAATCTCTCATATTCCAGGGCCTGGTAGAGTTATAACAAAGAGTAGAACAGAATAAGGGGATGCTGGGATTTAGGTTTAGCTGGGAAGGGTTCTCTGAGGAAAGGACCATTTGAACATAGTCCTGAAGGACATATGGCAGGAATCTCACAGAAAGTCTGGGAGAAAGTATTCCAGGAAGAAGGAAGAGCAAGTGCAAAGGCCCGGAGGCAGAGAAGGGCTAAAATATCCCTTCCCAAGAGAGCATTCCCCTTGACACCCCATTTTAAATAATGTTCTCTTTCTCAGGGCACACCATTCTTTTTGGAGTATTTAATCTTCATTTATGTTTTATATCTTAGTGTATGTAATTTAATTAGTCTCCCCCTCTGAATTACAAGCTCCATGAAGGCAGGCATCATATCTGTTCCCATTTTCCCTTATTTGTGTATCCAGAGTTCACCCTCTGGTCTGGTATTTATATAGTTACTGGATGAATCGATCAATTTCAAATGGTCATTAATGACAATGTGCAGTAATTTTGCATTGTGTGAGAATTTCCTTTTAGAAATCAGTATATAGGGTGGGGCAAGGGGAATCTCCCCTAAGGAACTGACACACTTCCTTCTTGCAGCTAATGAGCACAAACTGAGTATAATACATCCATTTCTGCTTTGCATGGCAAGGATCTTACACTCAGTAAAGATAATTCATTAAGATTTGAGGTTGGCACCTTCTCCTGTGTTTTTTTTTCTTAATGATGAGATTGTGCTTGTATTCTTTTATTCATTGGATTCCTCTTTTTGTGCAATTTAATTAAGATGCGAATAAAAAAGGAGCGATAATTAGGTAAAGAAGGAAGAACAGAAGAGGGGGGAGAAGGAGAGAAAAGAAAATAGATTCCTCTTTAAGACATATCTTGTCACTGCTTTGCAAGTTGAAATTAGAAACATAGCTAGCTTGTGCTTTAAATGTTATGACAGCTGCCTGTGACAATTGCTTGACATTATCAGGACCAATGCTAAGTATTTTTACATGTATGTAAAATTAAATTTTAAAATCTCGTTAAATTCCCAGTAGGTTATAGAGTAGATATCAATAGCCCCATCTTACAGATAAGAAAGGGTCATAGAAGTTAAGTAACTTGGCCTGAAAACAGAAGAAAGTAGAAATGAGTGCCTTCCAATGGCTTGGACAGGGCTGTCCAAATTAAATGTGAGTTGTTTTGTTCTGCCTCTCCTCAAGCTTCTATTCAGCCTCACCTCACTAAAAAGAGGTGTGCCCCTCCAACAGCGATCATAACCTCACTCCAAGGAACAGGGGTGAGGTGGGGGGGCGAGGGGGTGGGTGGAGAGTCCTTTACAAACATCCATTATCCCCTTAACTGGAAAGGCTCCTGAATGCAGGTACATCCAATGGTCTTTATTTCTGAAGCCTTTTTTTGTTTTTTCTTTTAATAGCAAAAGAATGCATGACACTGTAAACTGTCAAGTTGGGTGCTGGGAAGCCACTCAGACCTGCACTAAGAAAGGTGATAATGAATTCAGTGTTGCCAATTCTGAGGGAACTGAGAGAAAACACCTAGAGGTTCCCGTTAGTCCCAGTAGTGAACCAGATCCCTCCTTGCTTTCAAGGTGCAGCCCCTATTTCTCGGTTCTGCTCCCAGCTCTGGGGCTCTGGAACATCGTGTCAATCCATGGGACGCAGAATCCTGGGGCTTTGGGCCCAGGAGAGAGGGGCGGCTTCTATGCACACACACATCCATTCACACACCACACGTGGTCACAAAGCACAGACGGCACACACGCTCAACGCCCACACAAACATCGACCTCACCCACCCACTTATATCAACACCACAACACAGGCGCACGCGACCTCACACACCTCGCCCACTCATGCACTCACACCACACACTGGCGCGCAACACCCAAGCTAGCACACGCTCGGGCATCGGCTCACACCCCGTGCACACACCCTCTTGCGCGCGCCCAAGCCCTTGCTCGCCTGCACACACCCGCGCGCACCCGCTCACGCCCCGCGCACACACCCTCTTGCGCGCGCCCGCGGTCTCGCTCACCGGCACGCGCGCGCGCACAGGCCCTAGTTCACGGGCGCACCCCGCGCGCGCACACACACGCTCCCACCGCCGAGCGGCGAGGGGCGGGGCGGGGCGGGAGCGGCCGCCAGTGGCCGGCCGGGCGCCGCCAGGAGAGGGCGCGGCGCGGCGCGGGGAGGTACGGCCCGCGCCAGAGTTGTTTCCCGGAGCCCCGGCCGCAAGAGGCTCCGCGGGAGCCCGGCCAGCAGCTCGAGCTGGGCTAGGCGGGGCTGGGCGGGGCGGCCCGCAGGGAGCACACCCCGGGTCACGCCGGAGCCCGCGAGCCGAGCGCGGCGGGGAGCGCGCCATGGACCCCAAAGCGGGCGGTGGCGAGGAGGATGACTGCGTGGACTCGGGCGCCGAGACCGGAGGGTGAGCCGCGCGGGGCCGGGCCGTGGGCGGGGGCTGCTCTCCGAGTTGCGCTGCGGCGGGTCCCCGGCCGGGACCTTTTCCGACACCGCGGCGGAGCCGGAGCCGCTGCCGCCCTGATGGGGCCACGGGGGCTCCCCCACCTGCCTGGTCCCGGGTGGAAGGTAGAGGGGCTGTGGCGGGCCGGCTGTCTCCTGGGCAGGCTCCGAGGGCAGAGCCCCGTGGTCCGTAGCTACCCCGGGTGGGGCGGGCCCCATCCCCGGGGGAGGGGGGAGGGGGGAGGGAGAAAAGTGGAAGGACTCAGGGTTGGGAGTAAACCTCGCGCACACCACCACACACCACCCCTTCTTGCCCCCGTTATCACTGAGATGATGTGGAATACCAGGCGAATGCAATGTCCCCCCGAGATCATCGCTAGAGAAACAGATGCTCTTGCACTTGTTTCAGCCTTCCGCGAGGACTTTATTCCTCTAGCCCTGCCGCTCCCGGAGTCCAGGATGAGGGATTGGGATGAGAAGAGGATAGGACACCTGGCACCTAGAAGTCTTTCAGAAATCATATAAGAGGATGACATTTTTCATTTCATGGCTTTATTGTGCTTGCTGAGACTCCCTCCGCAACTCCTGTTTTCCCCGCCAAACTTCTCTGCCCACCTGTCCCAGCCTTGGGTACAGGTGGGATGAAGTTGGTGCTATGATGTAGCCCTGCTTAAAGAAATGTGCTCATCGCTTCAACGGACTCAAACAATTGGCCCAAACCTTTACCTCTGGAGACTAATTAGCCTTCTCCCAACGACACCATTTTCCTGAGTGGGACAAAAGATGGAGTATCTTTTAGGAGATGAATGTCATTGTAAATGCTTCCACCCAGCTCCTATCTCTAGAGAATTTTCCTGTGCAGAGTCAGCAAACATCCAGGATGCCGGTACTGATCCAGGAGGAAAGGGTGTCCTTTCCTCTCTGGAGAACCCTGGAGATGGGCTGGAGCTGCCCAGATTACAGAAACCCTTTGCCATGGAACATTGGGGAGATTTAGACTAATCTCGGGGGTTGGCTGTCTTGAGAAGACAGGATCGGGGCCCAAGGCTAGAATGGGCACAAGGGGCTGCCCTCTGAGTGACACAGTCACTCTTGCCTGCCCAGGCTCACCCTTCCTTGCAGCCTTCCCCCATTCCTAGCCCAAATCTGGCACTTTTACACCCTACAGTAAGTACTCTGCAATGGGCTTTCGCTGTTATCCAAATTTGAGATTATTTACGGTTCCTATAGAACCCAATTACATTCTGGAGTGGTAACCTGATTCCAAATACAGAACTCCCTTGTTTTCTCCCCACACTTGGTGTATGTGACATTTATCAACTGAAACTGAAGATCCTTGATCCACCCCCCCACCCCCCCCAGTTAGCTAGCTAGACCATGAATAGAAGAAACAAAGTGAAATTAACCGGCTCATTTTCAGCTGCATAAAATAAGGCTCCAACTGGTCCATTCATTTTCAATTTGCAGAGCTCACCTAAAACAGGTATTTTTTCCAAGGCTTCTCTCTTGGAAAAGTGGAGGAGAAGCCCTGACCCAGGAGCAATTGTACCCTTGGATCTCAGCAAAAAAGCATGACAGCTGCCAGGGTTGCTGGGAGGGGCTTGCTGAATATACTGACACCAGAGCTTGTCTTCACTGCCTCTGCCCTAAAGTGTATTGTTGTGACAGAATAGAATTGTTTAAAGACTCCGTATTGCCTCAGTAGCATCCTTAAGCTAAAGATGAAGGTAAAATAGTACGTGCTTAAGGAGTTTCAGTATATAGTTCCTGATCTTGTATTTGCCACCTATCCGTGTATCTCGTGCACTTTGGTTTGGTTATCAAAAAGCTGTTCATAATTTCCTGGCTTTTCCAGAACTCACCCCCAGCTTTCATGTAGCTGCCTGGGGAGACTTTACACATGTGTGCTATCACTATTATTTTCAAAATACAAATCTGATCATGCTTCTCTCCCAAACCTTTAGTGGCTCTGTCATCTCTAATGTACAAAGAGCTTAGTGTGGCCTACAAGTCCCAATGTGATAGGGTCCCCTTCTGTCTCTCTGGCTTTGTGTCTCAGCACCCCACCCTTGTATCCTGCCTCAAGCCACCTCAGCAAGGTGTTTCTGATTCTGCTTTTGTCAAACTGCCCTTTTCCCCAGCTCTGCCCTTCTCCACCTGGCATGCCTGCCCACCAGGTGAAACTCTATCTTCTTTTAAGACTCAGCTCAGGTGACCCATCGGCTAAGGCAGGGGTCCTCAACTTGAGGCCCATGAATGGCTTGAAGTCACATACAAAATGACATTCTTTGTGAATTTTGGGAAGAAGAGACTTACTTTTCACCAGATTCTCGAAGTAGTCTGTGAGTCCCCTCGCCACCACATTTGGGCAGGATAGGAGAAGTTTCATTTTCAACGTGTTGTATCCGAGGTATTGAAAGAGAGCCAAGCAAGGATGATGAGCCAGTGGTTGAGTCTATCTAGAGAGATGGTCAGAGAGGATATGGGTGTGACGACAGTGTGCTTTGGAATGGTCAGCCAAAAAATGGCCGTTGCAGTCCTAGGAGTAGATGAGATCAACCAAAGATAGTAAAGATAGTAAACACCTGGCATCTTACTCTGTGCTGGGGACTGAGCCTTTAATATTTTGTTAACACATTTGATTTTTCAACAACTGCGAAGCAGATACTGTTTAAGACCGGCCTTGAGAAATGACAACACTTAAAGGCCAGGTGAAGTTGGAGGAGCTGAGAAAGGGGCCTGAGAAAAAGGAGACACGGACAAGAGGAAGGATGAGGTGTCCTAGAAGCCAAGGGGAAGAAGGGAAAGGCATCGGCTGTGCGGTTGAGAAACTCACTAAGCTAAAGGAATGTGAAGTGCCTTTTTTTGCAAATGCAGGTAATGAAGGAAAAGGTGGATCCGTGGACAGTGGCAGGTGGAGGCAGAAGCCAGGTCCACCTGGCTCCAGGAGGGAGTGGACTGTGTGGAAGAGAAGGTAGACAGAGCCCTTTGTCTGAGAATGGGAGGGTGACAAGAGGCGGTAGCTGGAAGGGAGAGTGGGATGCGGGAAGGATTCCCAAAGCATAGGCAATAATTAGGCTCCTGTAAAGAGATGCTTATAGAAAAGACTCTATAAAAAGGGGCATAGATACGGGTGCCTGGGTGGCTCAGTGGGTTAAAGCCTTTGCCTTTGGCTCAGGTCATGATCCCAGGGTCCTGGAATTGAGGTCCGCATCTGGCTCTCTGCTCACCAGGGAGCCTGCTTCCTCCTCTCTCTCTCTGCCTATCTCTTTGCGTACTTGTGATCTCCATCTGTCAAATAAATAAATAAAATATTTTTAAAAGGGGGGGGCACAGATAAAGATATAGGAGAAAAACTGATGGTTTGTAATGTCCACTTTCTGAAAGAGTGAAGGCAGATGGACTTCAGACCTCTCAGCTCAATGGGCTTTGGGTAGAAGGAGGGACAGCTCTCTTCTTACAGCTTAGCAGGGAAGACAGGTTTCCATTCTGGGCAAATGCAGCCCCCTCCCCAGGAAAGTGGAGATGTGAAATAGTTGCTTGGGCAATGTTGAGTGAGAACCCAACTGAGATTAATGATTATAAATGTATGAAGGTCCCAGTCTAGCTTGCTATCAAATTTCCGGCAGCAGTACTCAACTACCTTAGGGGCAGGCAGAGGGAGATGGTGAGTGGTCGAGATGGTCAGGGAGAGAGAGGGACTGTTGCCAGGCAGGCGTGAACAAAACATAGGAGCAAAGGATTTGGGGGTATATGTGGAGCTGACTATGGATCCTTTCGGCAGCATGATCAAAGGTTCCAAGAACATTTTGGGTCCTGCTGCCAGTGGGCAGGTGGTGCTGATCGCTTTGAAAGTGACAGTCAAGAGAGTCAGGCTGCTGGGGTTCAACTCCATGCCCTGAGTTTTCTTTTCTGTAAAATGTGACAATGATAGTACCCACCTCACGGGGTGGTTGTGAGAATTAAATTAGTCTATACATTTAAAGTCTGGCATAAGTGAACCCTCAGAAAATTATTTCTCACCATACTGTTAGTATTATTATGAAGAAGACTCTGAATGACAAAGTTAGAGCTTTGTATAATAAAAATGTATATTTCTGGGTGCACTCAAGATCCTGTGTTCTTTATACTCATCACAATAGATGTTCTGATGTTTTTAAATGCCATGAACAATCTGAACACCTTTCAGAACATCTGCGAGATGATAGGATGTGTCTCAATATAATTATTTTACCCATAAGGAAATGGAGGTTCAGAAGGTACATGACTAGTTGGTGGTCTCAGTTTAAGCCTGCGTCTCCGGCATGCTTCCCACCTAGCGGAGTTGCCTCTCCAGGAACCACTGATGGGCAATTAATTCTTGATTCCTACTCAGACATTTTCTTTTGCTTGAAATGTCTTTGCTGTCTGACCCACCTAGTACAGGCCAGGCTAAAAGCTAACTAGTATTGTTCTGTGGCAATTGATGTCATTTTGGAGCTCCCCTTTTCCAAATGCACTTGAAGGCAAGTTTTGTGCTCCTGTGTATTTTTTTTTAGAAAAAACTGGCAAGCCAGCTACTGACTATGGTAAACTACCCTAAGAAACAGAATCCCTTAACAGAGGGACAAGCTGTGTTTTTGCAAATCGAAATAAAAGACAAAAAGTAAGATGAATGCTTTTTAGTGGGTGTTTCCTTTGTGACGTCTCCCAAATATGGCATCTGAGCCACTCTTTCAAATAGGACCATATCTGGTGCATTATTTTAATTCACAAGTTTGTCTGGCACTAATGAGCCTCCACCTCCCTGTCACTTGTCACTGAGCTTCTGAAAAACTACCATACCCTTTGGGTGACTTTTAATTGATACTTTACTGTGATTTAGAGATAGCACACAATTCACAGGGCTGGAGTTTATAAGCAGGTGAATGGGAACGAATGGGGGAATAAATTTGATGACGGGACAGGTTTAGAGAACAGTAAAGGGGGAAATCTTGCAAAGAAGACAGGATGATCTATTAGGTACTCGATTATCTTTGTGTTCAAGGTGGAGCTAGTTAGCTCTGAGCTACCATGGCATCTAATTCAATGGACTGAGAGTTAACAGATGCGGTCCGTGATGCACTGAGCTGACATTTTACCAAAACGTCAAAATCAGTATTATTGAAATGCCAAGATCAATTCTTATGCCAAGATTTTCCTGGAAAAAGAGAATTTAAGGTGGTAGCCTATACCTATATGGGCAAGTAGGCTGCTGACAGTGATAAACTATCTTAAGTGCAGATCCCTTTACACTTAACCCCTGTATGTATAATTGTAATTAAAAGGCAGTCAAGGGACTGCATCTAACTTTCTGGTCATGATTGGCAGAGATACCAAATAAATGTAATGTTTATAAATGTGTTTATGTGTCAGGCGTGTGAAAGTTTCTAATCCTTCCATCATTCTGCTTATCTGTATCATGTGCCCATACATTTTTCTTCCCAAAATTCATGGATTCACCTCTCAGGCTTCATTCTCACAGAGTTGAATGTCTTATTCAGAGCTAGGTGGGTAAATTCTTAGGATATAAGACCAATAAACAGGATTCACAAGACAGGTGCCCTATTGCTGTTCCCTCCTATCCTAAAAAAAGCTGGGGGTAACTTACCCCTCCAGAGAACTATAGTCAATATCTGAAATTGTTTGAACCTGTTTAAGCACAAAATTGTTTTAAGCTTTACAGTTTGTCTTTCACCAACAATATTTCCCATAAATAACCTTTTGAAGTTATTTGGAATGTATTTTATGGGCTATAAAAGTGTTTGTACATTGACTCAGTTCCTGTTTCCCATCATGATCATTTTTCTAAGGAAAAGAAAGTAAATATCAATGTATATGTATATACATATGTGTGTGTGTGTATATATATATATATATATGTATATATATGCAAGTATCTCATTATCGTGTGGTTTGCATAAGTGAACAATTAGAAACAATCATATAGCAAACAAAAGGCAAATGGTTGAATAAATTATAGTACATCACTTTATCTAAAATTACAATAATAAGAACTAGGTAGCAGCATGTTGTGATGGTGTGTAGTGAAAAGAGCAGTTTAAAATTCTATCTCCATCATTATGGCAGCTGTGTACAAATTTCATAAACAGAATCAGAGGCTGGAAAGCAACAAAAGGTTTTAGGGGATTTTCTTCCTGTTTGATTTCCATTTTGATGGGGGACAGGGATGGAAGTTGGGGCGATGGATGAGACTGCAGAGCTGGGCAGAGACCATCATTCATGAAAAGTGGGTTTTATGTTGTGCTTGAACTTCATCCAAAGAGTGACATGAACAGATTTGTGCTTTGCAAAGATCGGCTGCTGTTTGGGGAAGGAACTGGAGCGGAGCGAGAGTGGCAGGAGACTGACCAGCTGCCAGGCTTGACCCAGGCAGTGCCTTTAGTGACAAGAAATACATACGGAGAGATGCATGGCAGGGACGTTCGTTTGCTAGCACCTGCCCTAAAATACTACCATTACACCTTAAGATTCTCAAAATAGGTTTCACATGTAAATTTCATTCTACATTCATCTCCATCTGTATGCAGATCTTTAAAATACATGCATTTGTGAAACCCATCTGCCTCAGGAATATTGGAATATCCTAGCTGAGAATACTGACAAATTTCTAATAATAAAACAAACAGGGGCGCCTGGGTGGCTCAGTCGGTTAAGCGTCTGCCTTTGGCTCAGGTCATGATCCTGGGGTCCTGGGATTGAGCCCCATGTTGGGCTCTCTGCTCAGCAGGGAGCCTGCTTCTCCCTCTGCCTGCCACTCCCCCTGCTTGTGTCGCTGTCTCTCTCTCTCTGTGTCAAATAAATAACTAAAATATTAACACACAGTTACCACATTCCTAAGTTTGGTCCTAAAGTTAATTTATGCCCTGCCTGGTTCGAGAAAGAATTGAATGTATCCACTCTGGGGGTGACTCATCCTGACCATCCTGATCCTGTCTTGCATCTCCCTTAGCCAGCATGTCGCCATGCTCTATAGCCAGTCGTCCTACCTTCCAGGTCCTGCCTTGCCATCACGCTGCACTCCTACTTCAGATCCACTGGCCACCTCCCGGTCTCCTCGCCAATGGTATCACTTTAGTTTCCTAACTGATAACATAAAAAAGTGGGTTAGATATAGGCAGATTCAGTTTGTAATACATAAAGGGATATGCAAATGTTAATAGTTGCTATTTTTTCAGCCTTAAGATTCAGTCATTCTGTAACTACTAAGACAGTTCATTTCAAAAGAGATAACCACATGCTGTTTTTCTTCCATTTTGTTCCCCTACCAATAAATCAGTGCATCATTTTGCATGAGCAATATAGGTTATTTTAACTAGTAAGAGGTGTGCTTTTTGTGAATTTTTTTTTTTGAAGTTTTGTATATACGGTAACAAAGTCAATGGAGTGAAAATTGAATGATTTAAGAAAAGCAACATGAGGCTAAGTAAATAAAAGTGTATCTGTGGAAAATTCAACATAATTAACTACTTTATTTGCATAACCATGTCCCCTGACCACCACCTTGAAGAATAAATCCCTTTGTGCCTGAGAGATTAATTCCTTACTGAGAATGACTTTGGGACACTGTGGGGAGAAAACCAAGAGCTTCTATACCAGATATGTTGCCAGAGAGGGAAGGCTACCCAGCCACACAAGTAGAGCAGAAACTTCGAAGAGATTAAGCAGGCAGATCCTTGGCTAGATGCCCATTCTCACAGAGGCCGAGTGCCAGCAGCTGGTTTTTCAGCCTGGAAACTGATGGGTAATTTCACCCTGGCCCTAACCCTGCCTTTTCCCTTTCCCTATCACAGCCCACATCCTGTTACTGTAATGTGCAGCAGGATTTCTTCTCAGCTGGAACTGAAATCAGTCAAACATCACTGTGCCTTTGTTTCCTGATGGCCAGCCAGACCCTGCCTGTGGAAGCAAGCCCTCACAAGCCAGGGTCCCCTCCTGCTGCCGCCAAGGTCCATCACCGCTCTGCGCGTGTCAGCAAAGAAACACATCCCCATGACGCACTCTAACTTGAAGGGTGCTCATTTTCAGTGATTTCACCTTTGGGGGGCATCGTGAATCCCTTTGAGAATGTGTTGAAGACTTCGAGCCTTCTCCCCAGAGGAATAAGCTTCCATTCAAGAATTCGCCAACGAATTTAGATGGTTCAGGACCTAGCTAGTTTCCTGTCTTGGAGAGACATAGAGCCCATCTGAAGGACCCCTGATTTCTAACGTGCCTTGAACGTGTTGCCTTCAAATTCGGATGTAACTTTATTTTGCACCAAAGCCCCCAGCGCTATGGTTTTTCGTTTGCTACAGGTCCTTACCATGTAAATGCTACTTACCCTGACTTTTTAAAAAATTCTAGCTTGAAGAACTCATTTGGATACAGAAAAATAGCGTCTAATCCTACTAATACTAAGGTTTTGTGTTTCAGGTCTGACTACAGCCACATGTCCTCCACCAGCAGTAAGTATGGCTTAAATGTCCTTCGGCACTGGCTTCTCAATCCTGTCTATCTGGGGAACCCATGCTTTAATGGAAGAATCACCCAATGGATACTTGCCAAAGTGCGTAATGCTGGATTCTCTGACTCTGAAAGCTGGGGCTCTTCCTGGAGAATTTAACTGTCCCTTGGTTTCAGAACTAGCTATGCCACTACTTTCCCTATGGAAATTGAGCCTAGAGGAACCAGCCCAGGCTTTGTTAGGGCAGATGCTTCTAAAATAGCTTCTCCGAATAATCCCAGGTAACTCATTCAATCACCAGACGTTTATCAAGTACCCACTGCCTGCAGGCTAACAGCTCAGAGCACATTCATTAGACCCCTGGGTGACCCAGCTCATCTGCTGGGCCAGTGTCCTCCCTTGTATTTCTGCATCTGCAGGTGGATAGCATAGGCAGTTATCAATACGGTTTAAGAAAGGTGACTGGGAATATGTTCATAAACATACTGTAAGCATAGAAAAAGATGTCTGCATTAAATACTAATTGACAGGTAAATCTGTTCATGAGAAATGAGGCTTTATATCTAGGAACAATTCACAGTGTTTAAGATCACTGTGTGGGGCGCCTGGGTGGCTCAGTGGGTTAAAGCCTCTGCCTTCGGCTCAGGTCATGATCCCAGGGTCCTGGGATCGAGCCCCGCATCGGGCTCTCTGCTCAGCGGGGAGCCTGCTTCCTCCTCTCTCTCTCTACCTGCCTCTCTGCCTACTTGTGATCTCTGTCTGTCAAATATAAAATCTTAAAAAAAAAAATCACTGTGTAAATGACCAAAGCCGTTTGGATTAATTAAACACCTATTTTAAAATAACATAAAATACTTCTTCCAGTAAAAGCCCTGATTATTTGATTCAGTAGATACTGTTTTTTTTTTTTTCCTATCTTCCCTGTTAAACTCTCAATTCTAAGTAGTACCCCAATGGAAAGACACGTAATTGGATTATTCTATTTATTGATGTTCTGGCTTAGTTTTCCTTTGCAATAAGAGACTGTGCAGAAAGCTGTATTTCTGGAATTGTAATTTAGTGTCAAATTATATTTAGTTATTAGTATAACTGCAGTGAGTAATCTCTGATCATTCTAGCCAACTGGAGACCGAACATTGCCCCTTAGTTATTAAGAACCATTAGTAATAATGAGAATAATGCTCCAGTGACTTGCATTCCCTCCCTGAAGCTTCTGCCTTCCTAAAAATCCAGGAAAGCTCTCTTGAACTCTCTCTCTGCTGCTATTTTCATTCCACTTAGTTTTGCCCAGAAGCTACAGTTCTTTAAGAATGATTTTTTGTGAAATACTTGCCCAAAGCTTTTGTTCAATTTGTAGCTCTCACATCAGTCCTCTGGGTCACAACAAAGCATCTCTCTTGTCAGCGAAACTGGTAATTTGGTTTGGGAGGCTTTCCTCTCCATTATTTTAATTGTGATCTCAGAGTTGAAATTTCTCTTGGTGCAACTGGGATCAATAGCCTTTTATTGCTCTTCCTTTTCTCTTTAAATATTTGGTGATTCCTGCATCAATCTTCAGTGTTGGGACCTCTTGGTGAGGATGGGTATGTGTTTCATATTCTAGTTAGGAAATGTATTTGGCTATAAATAATAGAGGAAAAATAATGACTCAAGTCTGCATTCGTTTTCCTCTAACATTAAAAAAAAGAAGAAGAAGGCGGCCATGCAGGTCTGAAGTGGAAGCTCCTTTCATTGTTCTGCTTGGCTTTTGGCTTCTGTTCTTAGAGTTGCCTCAGAGTTACAAAACGGCTGCCTCGACCACAGGCAGCACATCCTTGTTCTGGGCAGGAAGAAGGGTTGAGTGGGTACTGCTGGGCCCTTGGCTGTCTTAGTCTAGTGTTTGCCTGGCCTGCTTCTCTTCCCTGCCAGGAGGATAAACACTGACCATACCCAGATGCAAGAGAAGGCCCTCTTAGCAGTTAGTAAAGATAACAGAGTGGACCCTTTCTGAAGAAGGAAAAAAAAAAGTCTGAAGTCTTTAATCTGTCCTTTAAAAGATAGGTTTGACAGGCTACAATCATAAAGAGTTATTTTCCAAGTAGATTTTTAAAACCACATTTCCCCACAAACTACACAATCACACTCAGAGGACTGAGTAGAGAGAAGGTTAAGAAGCTTACTCTCCATCCTGAATAAGGCTGTTCCAGGGTCACTCTCCTTGCCACAACCCAGCTGTGCCAGCACCCACTATGTGACCAGCAGGAACCCACGGAGCTGACTGGTCCTAGTTCCCTCTTCTTGTGGGTCCTGTGAGCAGCTCCTGCCTCTCATTGTCATCCCCCCCCCCGCCCCTCTCTGAATGGCTTGTTTCTGAATGCTTCCTGGTTGGCATCTTAGCATTGGTCCTATCTATTCGCTGTTAGGAAATGGATTTTTCTGTCTACTAGTGATTCCTGTTCAGCATTCCCATGATGCTCTTTTACCCGTTTGTGCCTGAGTTCATGGGGCCATAAGCACTTCCTTGGGTTGAGCTAGGGTTGGAGTCTGTCCACAGCTGGAGTTCATCACTGCTAGAGCTGACAGGAAAGCTTCCTCCCCAAGCAAGAGCTGCTCGTTAGGTGTCTTTTCCCTGAAAATGCAGGGACTGCTTCCTCATGCTGCCCACCCCTGATGGGAGAAGAAGGAAGGTCATCACCTAGAGAAAGTACAAGAGTTGCGGTGTAGGAGTTAGGTCCCCTAGGTCCTAGTCCTGGTATGGAGTCTGGGAGGCCATGGTAGTCCTTGGGCATTCTATTTTTCCTCGACCTCCTGGGTCCCAGAATCACATTCCCATTGGTTGTGTTTGATGTCACTTTCAACTCTAGGGGAAGTGGCTGAGGGGGCTTCTTTAATGGATGGTTTTGTTCTATAAATTGGGTAAACGTAAATTTGGGTAAAATTTTTTTCTACTTGCCATGGGTCCCTTTGCCTTTTTGAGATTGACAGGGCTGACAGGCTTTCCTCTTATGTTTTCTGCAGAGCTAAACACACGGTTAACACTCAGATCTCGATAAATCATAATATTTCCTAAGAAAGATGAATTTAATTTATACTCTCGGAATTTTAGGTGGTTTTTCCAGAAACCTGGGTAGAAGATCATCAAGGCAATATGTACAATTTACATTCTTAAGTGATTTAAATAAAAAAGAGAAATTTTATAAATGGGAATCAAAGAAAAGCAGTAATCATGTCAAGGGGAAGAAGATCAAGTGTGCCACGTGATGATAAATTCCCCTCATGCATGATTGAATATTCTCATTCAAATGAAGATTATAATCATACCTGGAGAATTTCTCTTAGAAGATCCTGGGAGCTGAAAAATGATATTTTTAGGACAGTGTCATATTTCTTGAGGATCTCTATTCCCAGGATAATGCCAGTAGGAGGCAGGTCAAAGAATTAACTAGTTCTCTTTATTGGATACTGTTCCTCTATTTGCCCTCCTAATTTGTGCCTCATGTGCCTCCTCAAAACCCAGGTACAGTCATTAACTCTCTACCTGGCCCTTACAGATGGCCAGTGGCAGCGGGGATGCCTTGCAGTTTTGTGCCCCTTCGTACTTTTTGAAATGCAAATGATCAAAGTGAGTCACAGTGATACAGGGGCCCTTGGCAATGCCCTGAGGAATTCCTCATATCTGAAATTATGGAGAAATGGCCATGACCGGTGTGTTCTACTGATTCAAGCCCAGGACCACATACCAAGCTGTGCAAAACAGGGACACGTCCCGGGTGGGTGGGAGTCATGGAATCTATTTTCCCACCCACCCGGGCCTCAGATTCCTGCCCTCCTCTTGCTTCCCTGGCTTGCTTTTCCTAGCTTCCTGCTCTGTCCTTCCAGTGACTCGGGTAGCTTCCCCGAGTCCTGCCTGCATTCTCCTTGCTGCTTGGGCCAGGCTGTAGGGCCAGTGGAGTTCTGTCCCCTCCGCTTTCTCGGGCCTGCCATGTCTGTGACCTGCCCTTGAGGGCAGCCCTGACCAGGCCCAGCTGATGCTGGGGGACCTTGGACATGCTCTCTTCTTGAGAGAAAGGGGCCGAGTGAATTGCAGGTGTTTTTCAAATAGGAAAGTCAGGTGTCTTAGTTAATTGCAAGCCCTTGTTATTGGTCTTGAGCCACCACAGGAGTTGACGGGTCCTGCCTTACTACTGTGTGGGACGACCTCTCATCCCTCCCCAAGGCTGCCTTGTCTCAGAGGTATATCTTTCCACATAAATGCCATCTTCTCCCCTTCATTTCTCCACAGTCTCATTTCCTTGAAGTTTTAGGATATCAAAGCATTGTATGTTTTGAATTTTGTCTTTAGCCACATCTGTGCCTCCCCTCGGTGTGGAAGGAAAGGTAAGCTCCTTGTGAGCTTATTAATTATTACGTAATTAATAAACAAATGTAAGGCGCTTTGAAAGCAACCCATCGAAAAGACATGACCGCATTCCGTAGAACTCGTCGCTGAGGGGGAACGTTTAAATAAAAATGACCCTTGTCTGTAGATCCAAGAGCTAAATTCAGATGGGATAGTGAAATAGTCATTATTTTCTTTCTGTTTTTGGGAAAGGAGATAACTTACTGACAGATTGACGTTTTAAGGCCACTTGTCCAAATAAGGTAAGTCAATATCTTGGAAGAGGTGGTAGTAGCCAATTTAACATTGATCTGTTTGTAAATTTCATAGTCTTTTTTTTTTTCTTCTGTTCACAATACTTTCCCCATTGTGATTTTCAGAGTAAATGTTATTTTAGGGTCTTATTTCATAAGATCTAGGCAAAACCTGGATCTGTTCATTAACCCTTACGGAAAACAATTTAGCCATTGCATGTGTATAATTCTGTGACCAGTATGTAGTTGGCAATGGATGCAGGTTTGCAAAAGGACCAAAACACCCATCTATCCATCCCCAGCTTCCCACTCCTTTTGCAATTAAAACTTCACAAGAAACATCACCAGTTTTCTCTAATTTAGAGTACAGCCTTTTAGGCAAAGTTAGTT